AAAAAAAAAAAAGAACTTACCCTCATTGACTATTTGCTTATCCTGGATATTTTATACAGGCTATATAGAGTAAATGTATGCTTCCTTCTGTTTTATTTGCTGTTTTCAGGATAATGTGTCTTTTTCTCTCTGTAACCATTGATCTATTAATGAAGTTTTTTTTTAAAAGAAGTATCGTAAACTTACGAATTTATAGATTTGGTTTTTAAAAACCAATTTGCAGTCATTTTTTCCATGTTAGGAACAAGAGAACGTTCTTGCTATTGGAAGTGATGTTGAAAGTCACGCTTTAGAGGGGTTGATCTTGCAACAGGATTAAGCAGTGGTTTAAAGCAGTGCTTCTTAGCTGGGTATTTGTAACACAATCTTTGAAAATTAACCCAAATCAACAAATCCATATCTGGGGCCCATCTGGAAACTGTTGGATACCAGACTGGGAGAGTCTAGACTCCTTTGTTTTTCAAAAGACCCCCGTATCATTCTATTTCATAGAACTCTGTTTAAGGACTATTGGATCAAAGATTAAAAGCTCAAACAACAGTCCAGCTATTACAAGTATCCTAGGTATGTGGTAGTAAGGACATAGATTGAGGTAATGTCAGTGGGAATGAGAGGAAGGAAGGGATAGAATAAAGCAACTTTATATCTTAAAAGTTTCCATATGGTATTTTGTGAATAATGTTGGTAATAATACAAAGTTTCAAAGGGTAGTGACAAAGATGACTCCAACATTTATGGTATTGGGGCTTGGGAGAGTACTGTCGATAGACAAGGGTAGATTGGCAGAGATTGCTAGTTTAGGGGAGAAGATAATGGGTTTTTGGACAAGAGGAGAGTTAAGATGATGGCTGTATTTCAAAGGGAACTCTGGGAGGTTGGAATGTGTTTTATGTTTTGCTTTTTCTGAATGCATTATTCATTCTCTCGGCATAGTACTCAACTAGTGAATATAAGTCATGCTACATTGATTGGGAAGGTTAATAAATGCTAAGTTCTCATTTGATACATGTAATCATAAAAATATTTGATATTTAAATAAAGAACCGTCAGTTTAATGTAAAATAAAATGGGAAACAGACTAGAAAAAACATTGTAGCAAATGGAAAAAGATTGATATAAAAATATATAAACATTTGAAAAAAATCAGTAAACTGGGCAAAGGACTTAAACAGATAATTCTCACAACTGGGAAATATATTTCATTAATTCATTTCATCAACATTTACTGAACTCTTATGTCAGGTACTGTTGTAAGTGCTAGCCAGCAAGACAGGAGATCTCCGAGCATTCTCGTGGTGGAGTAAGAGACTGTGAAAGATGGACAATAGACATGCTCCAAAAAACAAGAATTTCAAATAGCGATGATGCGATTAAGAAAATTAGGGTCCAGATGTGGTGACTCACACCTGTAATCTCAGCACTTTAGAAGGCTGAGGCAGGAGTTTGAGAACAGACTGGGCAACATAACAAGACTTTGTCTCTACAAATAAAATAAAATACTAGTTAGGTGTGTTGGTGTGTGCCTGTAGTCGCAGCTATTTGGGAGGCTGAGGTGAGAGGATCACTTGAGCCCAGGAGTTCAAGGTTACAGTGAGCTATGATTGTACCACTGTACGGTAGCCTGGACAGGTAGAGCATTGAGGTAGAGAATGACTTTGGTTTTTATTTTATTTATTTTTCCTTTTCTTGGGAACACGTCGGTTATAGTGTTGTGTAGTTGGAGGTTAGCATTCCTAATTCTCTGGAAAAAATGTTGGTCAGATAAGTTCGGTAATGGTTCCTGATAATTGGATTCGTAATTACTTTTCTTTTTTAGATTTTTCCTTTGTTTGGTTATTCTTGAAAAAGATTCTATATTGGATAGAGTGTAGAGTTTTTTCTGACTAGAAAAATTGGTTGTTTCTTTTCTTTCTTTTTTTTTTTTGAGATGGAGTCTCACTCTGTGGCCCAGGCTGGAGTGCAGTGGGACAGTCTCAGTTTACTACAACCTCTACCTCCTGGGTTCAAGCGATTCTCCTGCCTCAACCTCCCGAGTAGCTGGGATTACAGGTGTGTGCCACCACACCTGGCTAATTTTTGTATTTTTAGTAGAGATGGGGTTTTACCATGTTGGCCAGGCTGGTCTTGAACTCCTGACGTCAAGTAATCCACCTACCTGCCTTGGCCTCCCAAAGTGCTGGAATTACAGGCGTGAGCCACCGCACCCTGCCGGTTGTTTCTTACAGAAGTTACTTACTTGGATTCTTTTCACACAGTAGTGTTGGCTTTGTTCTGTTGGGAGGGAAACTATTCCTCTAAAAAATGTTCACATTTTTCCTATTACTTCATTCAGTAGTGAAATGTAATGATTTGACTCTGCCATGAGTCAGTGATATATCTGAGGGATCTTCGAAGTTAAAGGAAATTGGCTGGGCGCAGTGGCTCACGCTTGTAATCCCAGCACTTTGGGAGCCCGAGGCAGGTGAATGTGAGGTGAGGAGTTCGAAACTGGCCTGGTTGATATGGTGAAACCCCATCTCTACTAAAAATACAAAAATTAGCTGGGCGTGGTGGCGCACGCTGGTAATCTAATCCCAGCTACTCGGGAGGCTGAGGCAGGAGAATTGTTGAATCTGGGAGGCAGAGGTTGCAGTGAGCCAAGGTTGTGACATTGCACTCCAGCCTGGGCGACAAGAGCAAAACTCCATCTTAAAAAAACACAAAACAAAAGAAAACCCAGAAGTGAGAAGAAATCACTGCATAGTTAAAGGAATTGAGTGGAAAGTGTCTTTGTCCTTTGCTGTTTAATTACACAGTATATACATCGTGTAACCAAATGTTTCAAACTATAATTAACATATAGAGAGTTCAGTGCACTTTTTTTTTTTTGAGATGGTGTCTTGCCTTGTTGCCCAGGCTGGAGTACAGTGGTACGATCTCAGGCTCATTGCAGCCTCCACCTCCCAGGTTCAAGCGATTCTCCTGCCTCAGCCTCCCTAGTAGCTGGGATCACAGGCGCACACCACCATGCCTGGCTAATTTTTGTATTTTTAGTAGAGATGGGGTTTTACCGTGTTGGCCAGGCTGGTCTTGAACTCCTGACCTCAAGTGATCCACCCAGCTTGACTTCCCAAAGTGCTGGGATTAGAGGCATGAGCCACCACGTCTGGCCCAACGCCCTTCTTTAAAGAGAAGTAGTAAGTGATTTGCCCATGGAAAGTTATCTGTTTAAGGAACTTCTTTAGCAAATAAACACTTTATGTTTTCATTTATTATTGAAGATTGATCCAGAAACAGAGAGAGAGAGATACGTGTTACTTTGTAGTTATGTTTTTTATTAATAAGTAGGGACTTTTTAAAGAAGGAGATAATAGAAAAGGGAAACAAATTTTAGTCTTTAATTTTCTATTTAATAATTTACTGTTGGGAATATAAGATTTGTAGGGGAGGCCAGGCACAGTGGTGTGTACCTGTAGTCCGAGCTACTTGGAAGACTGAGGCAGGAGGATCACTTGAACCCTGGAGTTCAAAAACCAACATAACAAGACCCCGTCTCTTGAAAAACAAAACAAAACAAACAAAAAAAGATTTGCATGGGAGAAATGGGTTGAACATCGTTTTTATAAATGGAAACAGAAATAGAACTAAGATAGTAGTTCTTATGCTTAAGTTAGCCCATGCTTGCTTTAATTTTGACTACCTCATATGGAATTTTTTTCTTTTCAAAGGAAACTTGGCTATAACTTCAAAAGAAGATTTGGTTCTTTATTTCTGGACTGCATATATATAACAAGGCCATTAAAATGTCGGGAGCCTCAGTGAAGGTGGCTGTCCGGGTAAGGCCCTTCAATTCTCGAGAGACCAGCAAGGAATCCAAATGCATCATTCAGATGCAAGGCAACTCGACCAGTGAGTACATGTTGTTTTCTCTCAGCTGTGTATCTTACTTTCCTTTCTTCCTTTCCCTGTCTTCTTGCTGTGTTCAGACTAGATGAACATTTGCATATTAACACTTTGAACTTTGCTATTGTGAATGACCCATTGAATGTTTTCCCCTCTGTGGTGTTTGCTGTAGTATATTTAAATATGGACTATAATTTTATCCCGTACAATTGAGAAACCCTGAATAACTGAACTAATTTAGCAAGTGTTTATGCTTATTAAATTGAAATTTTAATGATAGTAAAGGTATAAACAGTGCTTTTTGCTGAGTCCTAATGTGAAATATACCTATCGAGGCTGCAAGATTCATTGTTTTTCTTTTTAGATTTTAAATGATACTTGATTTTGCCAAGATGATCTGACAAGTTTTCAGTGATTTTGAGTTGAGCAATGGATATAATATAGAGTAAACTTACACATTATTACTAAAATTATCAGTAATTGCTTCATAGTTTGTTTCTCTGTAGAATTGCTTAGGGAAAAAATGAATTAAGTTGTATCTTTTATACCTGCACTACCAAATTTCTTGATATGGGTCCATAGGCAAATTATCAATTAAAATAGAGGTAGGCTCTACTGTCTTTAAATCTGTAATTTTGTGATACAGAAGAATCATCACCCTTTCAGGCACAAGTTACTGCTGAAGTACACATTCTAACCTCATTAGCTTGTGCTCCATTTGGCAGTGTTCTGTGTAGAGGATTCTACTGGTGGAAATGTTTGTTCCACCAAAATCTAGCTAGATATTGCAGCCCACATTTCAGGTAGTTCACATACAACTTTGAATGTTCCGTTGCTTATACTCTTCTCTGAACTTGACAGATAAGGGCTTGCAACAATCTTTTTTAAAAAAAATATTTGAAGGCTGGGTGTGGTGGCTAATGCCTGTAATCCCAGCACTTTGGGAGGCCGGGGCAGGAGGATTACTTGAGTCTAGGAGTTGAGGCTGCAGTGAGCTGTGTTCTTGTCACTGCACTTCAGACTGGGCAATAGAGCAAGACCCTGCTTCAAAAAAAGGGTCTGTTTTTGAGATTCCATATATATATATTTAAAAAAACTTAAAAGTAGAAGGCTAAACAACTGTACCATTGTAGGTCACTCTTCTATGTCAATATTGCCAACAGTTCTGTGAATTATATCCTATGAAAAATTATCAAAGAAAAAGAGATGCAGAAGTCAACATTGAATTGGATACTTTAAGCAGGTGAACTTTATGGTATATAAATTGTATCTCAATAAACCTTTTTTTTTTTTCTTTTTTGAGATGGAGCCTCACTCTGTCACCCAGGCTGGAGTGCAGGCATGATCTCAGGGGCCTGCCACCACACCTGGCTAATTTTTGTATTTTTAGTAGAGACAGGGTTTCACCGTGTTGGCCAGGCTGGTCTCAAACTCCTGACCTCAGGTGATCCACCCACCTCGGCCTTGCAATGTGCTGGGATTACAGGCGTGACCCACCGCGCCTGGCCAAGTTTTGGTTTCCTCAACTATAAACTGGAGGTAATATTACATATTTTACTTATATATGGTTACCGAAGAGGGTTGTTTTCAGTACAATGCTGAATGCCTACTGGCTTTTCCACCATACTTTGTCCAAAACCTTTCTAGACAATAGGCTGAGTGGCTCTGCTCTGCCTTGAGTATCCTTTCCAACCCTTCTATCCGATTGCAAGTGTGCTGTAATGTTAGGCTGTAGGGATCACAGAGTTATACCATGGGACCCTGCTCTTAAGGAACTTTTTTTTTTTTTTTTGAGATAGAATCTCACATTGTCATCCAGGCTGGAGTGCAGTGGTGTGATCTTGGCTCACGGCAACCTCTATCTCCTGGGTTCAAGCGATTCTCCTGCCTCAGTGTCTTGAGTAGCTGGGATTACAGGCACCCGCCACTATGCCTGGCTCGTTTTTATGTTTTTAGTGGAGATGTAGTTTCACCGTGTTAGCCAGGCTCATTGCAAACTCCTGACTTCAAGTGATCCATCTGCCTTGGCCCCCCAGAGTGCTGGGATTATAGGCATGAGCTGCCGCGACTGGCTGTTTTTTTTTGTTTTTTCTTTTCTTTTTTTTTTTGTTGAGACGAGGTCTTGCTCTGTCACGCAGGCTGGAGTGCAGTGGTGCAATCATGGCTCACTACAGCCTTGACCTTCTAGGTTCAATCAATCCTCCTGTCTCAGCCTCCCAAGTAGTTGGGACTACAGGCATGTGCCACTATGCCCAGCTAGTTTTTTTCTATTTTCTGTAGAGACGAGGGCTCACTGTATTGTGTAGGCTGGTCTTGAATTTCTGGGCTCGAGTGATCCTCGCCTTGGCCTCCCAAAGTCTTGGGATTGCAGGTATGAGCCACTGTACCCAGCCTCCCTTAAATAGTTTTTAAAATTTGTGGTTGGAGAGACTAGACATATTAAAATAATTTTTTTTTCTTTTTCTTTTTTTTTTGAGATGGAGTTTTGTTCTGTCACCCAGGCTGAAGTGCAGTGGTGTGGTCTCTGGGAGACCAGCGGCTGGTCTCCCACTCCTGATCTGAAACCTGTGCCTCTCGGGTTCAAGTGATTCTTCTGCCTCAGCCTCCTGAGTAGCTGGAATTACAGGCACCTGCCACTACGCCTGGCTAATTTTTGTATTTTTAATAGAGATGGGGGTCTCACCATGTTGGCCAGGCTGATCTTGAACTCCTGACCTCAGGTCGTCCGCCTGCCTCAGCCTCCCAAAGTGCTGGGATTACAGGTGTGAGCCACTGTGCTCGGCCAAGATAATTTCAGTATAGGATAAAAAGTGATCAAAGTGGTAGTTGTCATAACAAAGGATGATTATTTTATTTTATTTTTTGAAACAGGATCTCACTCTTGTTACCCAGGCTGGAGTACAGTGGCACCATCTTGGCTCACTGCAACTTCCTCCTCCTGGCCTCAAGCGATCCTCCCACCTTAGCCTCTGGAGTAGTTGGGGCCACAGGTGCGCAGCACTATGCCTGGCAAATTTTTGTGGTTTGGTAGAGATGGGATCTTACCATGTTGCCCAGGCTGGTCT